TACAGATCAGAAGCCTAGGTCTTTTACTTCTGACTGATGTTTTTATTTGAGGGAACAAGGGATGTTTGTTGTCTAAAAAGATAGAATTAATTAAGGTGGACGGGAAGTGTAAATCTTCGACATGCACGATACACACAATGCTCCTGGTACCTTTGTTATATTATCTGTCGGTTTAATTTTTAAAATATTTTGTAATTTAAGATGAACTTTCTTAATTCATCGCCATCTGTGTAATTATGTCGACTGGGGTGTAACTTTGATTTACAGTTATACTGTCCTTTTTCCAGGAGCGGATGGGCAACGCGCCATACTTTATCATGGCCGCAGCCACGCTGTTTATGGCAGTTGTCCCCCTTTGCCTGCCAGAAACACTGGGTCATCCCATGATGGACTCCAGACCTTCGGACAACACGAGTGGCCCCAGGGGTCAAATTGACGTGTGCAGTGACAACAAAAGTCAAACTGACGTCGCAGAGACCGTGCGGTTTGTTGTCAACAGGGATGACGACAGGGCTGGAGTTGTTGATGGATCTGTATAGGTGTCACGACGTGGTGGAATCAGGCAATCGTCAATTTTTGGCCTTGTAGAGGTACTCGGATCACCCGAAAGCATATTTATTTGCCTTGCTTTCAATTTTAAAAATGTCCATCTATCACGAATACACGTCGAAATATTTTCGATTTAAGGAGGTGGGGTCGCCTGGATTCAGAGGTAAAATGAGCGAGAAAACGGCCGCCAAAGTTGGGTAACTTCAATAGCTTGAGAGTCTTTTAAAACTGAAAAATTACATATTTTATACCTTTAATCAACGATTTTAAGTACAATTTATTCACATGAAAATGTGTTTTTGTATTGACGTAAAAGGTGTTCAGCCCCCAAGAAACCCAAATATTCAACAACAACAAAATTTTAAAAATTGCCAAACTGACAGACAAATCCCTGTTTCTTCAATTTCCGTATTTTAACAAGCGCCTGATTTCACCACACTACCTCACAAATAGAACAGTGCTTCTCAACCCGTGTATTGCCTTCACCAAGGTGGTTCTAGGTCCTTGGCCCACATCCACTTTTGACACCCTTGAGAGCCTAAAATGGTCGTACCGCCTTCCTGCATGCACAGGGTGATCCAAAAAATGTTAACAGCTTTTTTGGAAATATTTTCCTCCACACAAAAGATTTGTGTTTTCAATTTGTACTCAAGGTTTTGGAGTCAAAAGGAATTTTTCTGATATTTAAATTTTTTAAATTTAAGACACAAATTCCTTTTGGGTGAATTATATCTGTTCCTAATTTCAACATTCTAGTACACATTTTGTTGGAGATATTTAAAAAAGAACTTGTTTAGTGCTCTTTTTTTCACTGTGTAGGCCTACACATGTTTCCAAACGAGACACTGAATAATACCTAGGCATGCTACTGCCTCCACCACCCACCAAAATCACTGGGTCATATCACTTCGGCTGGCAGGAACTGGAGTAGCGCTTAGGCATAGAGATACAGGCCTACAAAGTGTCTCATGAGAGTTTTGTTTTCAGGGAGCCTTTTGGTGTTTTGAAATAGACTCAGAGTTAAGAGTCAGTTTCAGGCTTCAAACACAGTTAACTCGTTCTCAAAGCGGCATCTTGATAGCACTGAAAGGGCATAAACGGGAACGCTCAACAAGAGAAATGGATAATGAGAGAGATGGCGAGATAGAAAGAGAGAGACAGAGAGGGGTGAGGAGGGGGGTGGGAGAGAAGAAGAAAGTGTTAAGAAAATGTATGACAGATAAACTGGAACAACAGAGAGACGTATCAGAGGTAAGATGTTGGTTTTTTTTCTTCAAAATCAACAACGCAAAATACAAGTTAACCTTTTCGTAGCCTATCGTTTGAAAATGGGGCGTTATAACAATGATTAGAGGTCTTGGGTTCATCAAAGTCATTAAAGGAGTGAAACATGGAGAGTTCTGCCAGATTATGCATACGTATTAGATGGTATCTGTTATTGAAAAGAGGTAATTAACAGTTGGTTATGAACGAACTTTTTTTTCATTCTTCATTCTTGAGTGACCTGAACAACTATGAACCAGGGAATTTCACAATACGACATGTAAAAGTATGAATCTTTTTATCAGCCGGCGTTCAATTTTGCCACATTATAGTTCCCAAACATGAACTTAAGGAGGTAAGAAGGAAACGATGGATTAACGGCTGGAGAAAATGTTAAGGTTTTAGGGGATTCTCCTGCATGCAGTTTTCAAAATATGTAGTGAAAACAAGACTATCGTCAATAATGTTAGGGGCGACTAAAGCGACTGTGGACAGCGACATACGAAGACTCAATTTCTAAATCTTTGTAGAATGAGAAAACATTCGTCAGATATTTAGTTTCATCCAAACGAGTGATGCAGTAGAGAGCAACTCATCTTGTTTATTTTTGTAACCATATCAATTTACTATCGATAGGGCCAATACAAATTTTTTTGATATTTTGTGGGTCAGTCGGTTTTATCACAAGGCCCACGATATGCATTATGTCATTATATCATATATAACATTACTGCTAACTTTTTATAAGACATGTAGTATCAACATTAAACTGCAAAATACACATTCATGTGTATCAATTCCTACAAAAATTCATAAATCAGAGTCTCCATTGTTATTTTGTATGATCACAGGCCCAGAGTTGAAGTGTAACAGAATATAACAATATCATTTTTTAAAAATGATAGTATAGTGTTACATGTGGGTAAAGTTCTAATGGAAGAAGAGATACATGAAAGAAGCCAGCGCATTTTTATCGACCTTCTACAAGAAATTATTGTGACCGATGATGATTTTTCCGCCACTAGTTTTGAGCACACGAGTAAGTTATGAAGGTCAAAAGAGAGAAAAAAGTCCTCAAACTGACATAATGTATTCCAAGCAGGTGCTCAAAGCTCAATAATCAGATTCCTGTACAAGAAAAGAAAATTTAGCACAGCATTGCTTCTCTGTGGCAGCTGATTAGTCCAGCTCTGACACCAAAGACTTCAAGATACATATAAACAAGAAAGAAACATAATATTGATTTTGCATGCTTTATTAAATTTTATAAAACAGTTAAACGTGCAGAAAAATATCCAGTACAAATGACTGTCGTTGTGATCATAAATAGGTGTTTCATAAAGAAAAGAAGGATCATCCATGCATTTTTAATAATTCTTGAAATATATCTCATTCAAATGCATTTGCACAGCCATTTGAGTTTTTTTAAGTCAGAAAGAAACATTTTGAAAATAATTAAAAATGTATCAAAGGGTAAAACCAGATTATTGTAAATCGAATCAATAAATATTATATAAAAAGCTCAAATTCTTCAGGAACAAGAAAACAATTTACTTGGCCAGCACAGCTGTGTGGTGTCCTACACACAATGGAAAAAAGACCGATATTCACCTACTGAAAGACAAAGTTGTGCAAAGTTGAAAAAAATACTTCATGGATAACAAAGGGCTCGGTAGGCACAAACATACAGATCTAAGACTTGGGACCAAAAACATCACATGATGCTAATGCAGTTAAAAATAATTACCTGGATAGGTACAATGAAAATAATATACAAAATAATATCTGAAATATTTCAACATTTAAAAACAACATAAAATAATATCATCTATCAAACCCTTGAAATTTAAATAAAACGAATTCAAGCTATAACTTTATATTTTTGTTTTATCTTGATTCAATTAAATAACGGACTTCACTAATTGGAATGGCTGCTAACGAGACACTTTTAAAAAGCAACTAAATGTCAAGAGCATTGGGAATGCATTCTGCAAAATACAAAGACACTAAATCATCTTGACCAAACAGGCTGAAATAAGCACCGGTTTGAATTTTAAGTAGTAATAAAACCTTTTCAAGTTGTTCGAAAGAGGGTAAGGGGGGGCTGGGAGGGCAGAGAAGGAAAAGAGAAGATAGAATTTGGTGTTACTGTTGCACCTGCTGTACAACAGCCCAAGTAATGGTTATGCCATTGCAGCCACATTTCCATTTAACCATTTTTAGTTAAAGTTGCAACATTTCACAGATACTACAGGCAGAGCTAGGTTTCCATCTCTGTATGGCTATCATTATGAACAATTATAACAACCAACTTAATAACTACTTTTTTTTCGTTTGATAATGACAAAAACCATCATATCTTTTTTTTAAAAATATATTAAAAAGTGACAGAGGAAAAAGGAAAAAATAATAAAAGTCGGATGCTATAATATTTTTAGCACAACAAATGAGTATTCACATGAGGTAATTTCTTAACACACACCAACGTCATGGCAACTGTCTTAGTGCTAGTCCAGCCACCGGCGTTCATTTGTTCTAGTGTTGAATTCATACATTTTGCCCGTAACTGAAATAAAAATAAAAGCAAAATGATCAAATTGATATCTAAACTGCTGCAAGCTTAAAAACAAAATAGCTTCCCCTCCAAGACCCTGGGAATACGAAAGAAGAATGATACGGGTAGTAAGTCTTAGTGCTCAAAAGCATGGTATTTTGAACTTGCAAACTGAATTCCAATGTTACTTAAACCATTGCAGATAAGGAGAAAAAACTATTTCACACCCTTTGCAACAACACGTACAACATGAAAGTGAACAAACCAAGCGCACAAAAGAGCTAAAGTTTAGTATTGCTAATGCCATTGGCCTGCGAAACAGTCCGTTCAGAGAACTTCGCGTTGGTCTTACTTCTTTCCAAGCCTAATTGATGTTCGTCTAATCGTTCTTTTCACCAAGCATCTTACGCCCATTTTTGTTTCAATGGTGCCTATAGGGTGTATGAATTCAGCTGTTCATCGTTACGCAAAAGTTCGACACTTCCCGCTAGGTGAATATATTATTATTTCATTGAGTGTCTCCGCCATTGTCTCAGATATCTATCTCACACAACCCAAGTTAAAGCCAGCTTCACTCAAGCAATCTAAATTGTGTCGATGGGGATGTAAAACATGTAGAGAAGCCTCCTGCTTAGGTTGAACTTCTTTGTAATTTTTAGCAATTTAAGTAGACAATAAGTCTACAACATTAGACAAAGACCCCCCCCCCCCTTAACCGAGCATATCCTCAACACTTTAAAATTCATTCAGAAACACAACTTTGAGTAAGGGAGACAGATTTTCTAGCGGAAATGAGCCTCGGTCCAATGTTTTCAGGCACTCGTCAACTTTTTGCACTCATTCAACTACTGATATCATGTTAAAGCTTGTTTATTTAATTTTTTTTGTTTTTTTTTTTGCTTTTGATGAATAAAAATATCCATAATATATATATATATATATTTTGAATAAAAGTCAAGGTATTTGTGATTGAAGGAGGTGGGGTCACATGGTGTTAGAGGAAACTTAGCAAGAAAAAGATTGCCAAATTCTGGAAACCCAAAGTTTAACTATTCAAGGAAAAGTCGATTAAAATTGTGTATTCCTTTGATCAAGTTTTTCAGTATATTCCACTCAGAAATGTGCTACTAAATAGACATAAAAGGTGCTGAGTAGAAAAGATATTGATAAAAATTACCCAGATGTCCTGGAAATACTGGTTCTTTGATTTCATCATTAATGAGGCATCCTGATGAAACCAGGTGCTCGTCAAAATAATGAAATTGGAGAAACAGGCATTTTCCGTCAGTTTGGCAGTTTTTATCTCATTTTTGTTTTTATGCTCAACACCTTTTATGTCCATATAAAAACATGTTTTCATGTCAATTTTACTTTTTAAAATACGTTAAGAGGCACAAAATGTGTACATTTTCAGTTCATAAAAGCTCTCAAGCTATTGAAGATATCAAACTTTGGCGGCCATTTTCTTGCTAATTTTACCAATGAAATTAAGTGACCCACACCTCCTTCAATAGCAAATCTCTCAACTTCCATTAAAAATAGATGGGTATTCTTTTCATCAAAAGCAAGGCAAATAAACAAGCTTTAAAATGATACCAATAACTCTACATGCCCAAAAATTGACGGGCGCCTGATTCCACTGTGTTGTGACACATTTTGAAGAGAGCCTGTTTTAATGATGATGACCCACAATTTGTTTTGAGATGTCAGTAGAGAGAAAGATGAGGGATAGGTATTTCTATGAGGTGTGAATGAGGAGAAAGATAAAGTATATGATTAAATTATGTATTCTATGTGGCTTCAGATGGGAGAAAGGTAGAGGATAGGAGTAGTAGTAAACACAAACTGATTTTGATAGAGATTAAGATAAAGGATGATTGCCACTGAAGTGACACACTAAGACTGTGTTTACCTGGATCTAAAGCTTTCCCATCAAAGGCTCTGTTCATGATGGAGTAGTTGTAGCTGGGTGGCTCGGCCAGGTCACTGGGAGATATGATCATGTTGCGAGGACTGCGAGTATGCCGAGACTCTACGGGACTATGTCTTCTCGTATTATTGGGAGGTGCATTACTTCCAGTCTGTTGATGGATCTTTAAAAAAAAGTTATTTAAAAAAAAAATTAAACTACCTCAAGTATTTTTAGATTTCTGCATAAATGTTTGCCAGTCTATCGATGGGCAAAGACAAAGATGGTGGGAAAAAGCATAAAAATATCAAGCTACTAAAGATTACTGTACAAATGTGTGCTGGCTTATTGGAGCTGGAAAGACAAAGAGGGGGAATGTAAAAGTTAAAAATGAGAGACAGCGTGGTACAACAGATAATATCAAGTAAATCTTTAATGTAGAGGTGTCAGAGAACATGCTTTTAGCCAGTTGCTGGCATCTCATGCTTCACCATTTCATTCAAGGAATAGTCATCATCCATATTTTACTGAGCGTTTGTTCCATTTCTAATTAAAGTTACTTTTAATGAAAAACAACATTTTAGCTTCTTATTTTTGTTTCTCCTTTGTACTAAATTATTAGACATGAAAACACAGATTCATATTCTGTAAATGTATACTCACCAGCTTAAAAAAATAGAGAAATAATTTTGCCTTGAGAAAATGAGATAATCTTTAATAGTTACCAGAGGATCTGTGAGTAGCATCGGAGGGAAAGCCTTTCTGTTAGGCAGGTTGGAGTCCTTATCTGGTACAATTCCTGAGGAGAGATTTATTTTCATGGAGGTTAAAAAGTTGTTCAGACTCCTCTAAATGACAAACATTGAGATTTATCTGTCAACTACAGAGACATGGCATCTGTGGTGGGGGGGGGGGTTAGACCCGTCCCTGTTGCATGCAGGAGACTTGAGTTAAATTGCTGAAGGGTGAAACGTTTTTGAGTATCTTGGTCTTTCATACAATACAATTAGGAAAAAACCCAAAATATTTTCAACTATAGAGAACTATGTTTCTCATATATCTACACAGGCCTAAGTTTGTATTATTTAAATCGTTCCAAGAGAAAAGAAATAAAAAAGAAATTCATGTCTTTTAGAAGTCAACGCTTTGCTCAGTAGAGTTTGCGGGAGTGTCTTTTTTATTATTTTGAATATAGATGTTTTTACACCCCATATAAACCATTAAGATTATATAGGAGGTGGTCTTTGACCCTGCCCTTCAGCACTAACCTGAGCTGAGGGTGATGCATCTCAGCCGGATGACCAAAATACATGATAAAAATTCCTTCCCAAACATGAGACTCAAACTCAGGACTTCAGTCCGCAAGAGCGAAATACCTAACTACTACACCATAAATGCTAGTAGGAGATAGTTTTACAACTAAATTGTTTATCATAAAAGGCCAAATGTATGCAGCAATAAATCTGTAACCAGCATAACTTTCAACAGTTTTCAGTTAACAGATTGAATCAGTACCGTTGCCAAAAATTGCAGTTCAAACATAGAAGACCCATTACATCCCCTAAAAGAGTGGAATTAAATGTTGGCAACAGTCTGGATATAATCAATGACATCAGACAAATCAACCTTTTTACACAGCTATTTTTCCGTCAAATCTAAAATGACGAGAAAAAAGACGAGCACTGTTGCCTGTTACTCCTTCATTGATTTGAAGAAAGACAGGTGACATTGCCCTTAGTTTGAATCTGGACAGTTTTACTGCATTTGCAACACAAATAGGTCATGAGATATAAAAAAACAATTGATGTTTGATGGGAAAGTAGGAGCAAACCCCACCAGAGAGCCCACCAACCACCCACAATTGTCTGTGACTCCTTCATTGATGTTAATAAAGACAAGTGACATCACATGTAAGCGTGGATGTTTGGCGGGTACTCTGGTGTGGTTTTCTCCTTCTTTCTTATCAAACATCAATCATCCTTACCTCTCCTCCTTTTTTCGTTTTTGTTGAAACACCTTTAACCTTAAGCACGTTAGTGACTGAAACCTAATTGTGTTGCAAATGCTGTAAAACTTTTACTGAAATTACTCACCTGTATTAGTGTCCCAGGCACCGCGGTGAACCATAGGTTTAGGTTTCTCTGCTTTTGGCGGTGTCACTGGATGTACCTCAGTGAGACGTGGAGTTGTGCGGAGGGTCTTCAAGGGTCTGGTGACATATACAAAAACATGTTGTGAGGGTCTGGAGACATACATACACAAAACATTATTTGGGATGTTTGAAGAATTCTACAAAAACAGGTTTTGGGATGTCTGAAGAAATCTACAGAAACGTGTTGAGATGTTTATTCTGTTCAGTGAAAACTATCTACCAACAAGTTAAGGAACCCAAATCAGATATCTAGGCCTACCTGTGGAAGGGAAAATTATATAAATTAATAGTGTAAATATTCTCCTTTTTTAACACTTTGCAGTCACACAGCATATAGTACAAAATACCCCATCTGGTCACCCAACCGGGAGAGCGACTGCATGCAACGGACTTCTCGGGTCAGGCACAGAACTGTGCCAGATGACCAGAACAGATCATTTTCACCTGCTCATTATTGCACCAAGTGACCGGAAAGTGTTAAAGGCCAGACAATGTAAAGACCAACCTGTTGCGAGTGTTGCACACACGAACAATCATGTATGTGAGGATGGCTATCCATGTCAGACCAAGGGCAGCGGCGATAGCTGTGATGACCTTGCCGTGCAGCGTGTCCCACCAACTGTCTGTCTCCTCGTAGTACGGGCTCACACTGATGATGCTGAACGGGTCCCACGCTGAGCCTGAAGGGTTTATGGACAGGCTGTAGTGTAGCTAATGCCACATAGCTATATTAATTATCTATAGTTCGTGGCCAGTGTTTCATATCATATGATTTTCACACAGTCTGTAACCACATCTACAGGTTATATTATTTACACACAAACTGTACCCAAAACTCCTCTTATCAATGCTGTAGTAACACATTTCACAAAGAGAAGAACAAAAACAAAAACAAAAAAACGGAAAAAAGGCTCAAGCGATTCTTTAAGAAATCAAAAGAAACTAATTTCAGGGCAGTACTTGGGGCTTAAAAAATACATTTGAGGAGCAATCTGTCACTGAAGCGTTTCATGAAGCAACAACTCTCGATTCTTACCCTGTATGGCGGAGCCAGGATCTCCTTCAGCATTGGCCGCCACCAGAGCTCTGAACTCATCCTGTGTGAGGAAAGTTTTGTCTGTGTTGATATTGGCTTGTGACTCGCTGCTGTCATCCTTCACGATGTACAGGTGGACATTCACAGGGCTGAGGAAGTTTTTTAAAAAGTTTTAGAAAGAGTTTTACAGAACTTACAATACAAATAGGTAATGTAAGTGCTAAAGATTTAAAGTGTTGCTAGCGCATAACATACAAGGGAAAGAATGAGGAGAAATATAAGGAAGATAGATGTTTGCCTGATAGGAAGAAAGGAGCAAACCATATCAGAGCTGAGAAAGAAAAAGGTACATGAGCACATCGTATTTTCTTCTGGTGTTGCCTTCAAATTTCTCTTAAAAGAGATCATGTGAAGCCTTGTACATTGACACAACATCAGTTATTTAAAGCAAGAAATACGTTTAAGTATGTGTGTGTATGTGTGTGTGTTGGTGTGGGTGGGTGGGTGTGTGCGTGTGTGTGTGTGTGGGTTGGTGTGTGTGTGTGTGTGTGTGTGTGTGTGTGTGTGTGTGTGTGTGTGTGTGTGTGCTTGTAAGTGTATGTGTATTGTAATAATATGTGAGTGTATGTCTGATAGAGAGAGAGAGAGAGAGAGAGAGAGAGAGAGAGAGAGAGAGAGAGAGAGAGAGAGAGACAGACAGACAGACAAACAGACAGACAGACAGACAGACAGACAGAGCGAGCGAGAGAGAGAGATCAAACTTACTTGTCCCCACTTGCAGTAGTTCCACTGTACTCCTGAATACACCACAGTCGAGCCAGAGCTGTTGGGTAGGTGTTCCTCACTACAGTCTGAAGGTTGGTCAGAAAAGTAGTCTGCTGAGCAACAAATGTGGCTCTAGGAGATACAGAAAAATACAGATATGAAGAAGTAATAACATTATCAACCGGAAATCCATGCACTTTTTGTCATTTGTCATCAAATTCAACATCAGAAACACAAGCGGACAAAAGGAAGCTCTCAAACAAAGCAACCATTAATAATTATGAGACTAGAAGCACCGTTCAGTTTTAATTTTAGAAAAACTTCGTTTGGAAAATACATCAGCAAGCAAGAATTCACACAGACAATACAAATGCTGCAATATATTAGATAGGATCTGACGAAATTATAGGCAACAAATACGGTAGTAGATCTCCAGAACTGGACCTGTTTTCTTTTCACGGTATGCTATTGGGATCATAAAAGTAAAGGGTAAAATTACCTCATCATAATAAGTAAAAAAAAAAAGTATTAATTTGAAACCCGTTACATTACCTCAAGATTCCCAGTGTGAGTGTGACAATAGCTGTGTTGGGAAGACTACCTAGAGAATCCCCATGTCACAAAAAAGACATTGATAACACTACCAGTGTTAATTTGACAATAGGGACATTGAAAACTATTCCCTAAAAATACCCAGTGTAAAAGTTACAATAGCGACATAGAAAACATTTTTTAAGAAATACCCAGTGTGAATGTGGTAATAACCATGTTGAGAACATTACCTAGAAACGCCAAGTTTGAATGTGACAATGACTGTGTTAGGAACAAAAGTGTCCACTCTGACAGTCGCTCCAGTGGCTGCAGTGTTGACAGGGATCCCGTTGTCACTAGCTTGGATCACTTGTGTGTAACGCGTGTTGGTCGCAGCCACAGACTGTAGAGACAACACACCTAGGGGGACAGAGGTAGCACCGTTTACTTGTGTGTAACGCATGTGTCGCAACCTAAGCAACAGAAGGAACATCATTCACTTGAGTATTGTTTTTTTGTGTGTTGGTCGTTGCCATAGACTTCAAACCAAACACATAGGGGGCAGAGAAGTGTGTAACCAAAGAGCCACAGACACAGGCTAAAGGCAACATACCTCTAGGGGAACTTGTGTGTAACACGTGAGTCATGAATGCAACATCAAAAGAGACATAAGATAATGAAACAAAGTACAGGACATTGATCCTTTCTTTGCAATCACTGACATACATTTACCTTGTAGGCCGTTTATGCGCAACAAGCAAAAAAAATATAATGTGGACACATAAAAGCACACAATCTTTCAAGAAAATGTGCTCTTCTTTGAAAAAAGTTAGACGACAAAGAAAAAGCGAGACAAAAAAACATCAAGCAAAGATCTCTGAAAGTTTTGACTGTTTTGTCAACAAAAAGTCATCAGTATTATCCCGATGCGAGTAGGCGAGTAGATAAGAGACAGAAAAATGAATTGCATTTATTTTTGCCTATTCTCGTCTCAAGGAAATGCTCACTGCCTATCACAATTAAAAAAAAAAACCACATGTGTGTCAAACATCGAGAAAAAGCAAAAACGCTATTACAAAATTATAGAGTGCTCGAACATACTTTTTTACTGATAAAAATTCACTGCCACAATAAAAAGGTAAAATAATAAACATACCAGTATCTATATTCACAGAAAACAGATAGTCATCAGTGTTAGCCTGGAGTGAGTAAGAAATCCGTGCATTGTCCCCACTGTCTGCATCTGTGGCCGTCACTTGAGTGATTGAAGAGTCACATGACCCAGTGTAAGCGATCTCTGTGTTGTAGAAAGTCTGACTGGGAACAGTTTCAAAAAGTAAATGTTATAACTTGTATTTATAAATCATCTAAATCACATGATAAAAGGTCACATATATAACACAATCCTATTATACTAGCTCACAATATGTAGGTATTATGTTTTGTCTATTTCTTGTGACATTCACAAAATGACAACTGGCATCAGTTGTGTAGCGACTGGGTGCGGGGAGAACTTTCAATAAGTATTTTGGTCTTTCTGTTGAAACTTTGAGTCTCTCTCAGCCTGAATTGGCCCAGACAGGCAGGGTCAAAGCCCACTACACCAAACTGGTGAGAAAAGTACTAGTATTATTGGTATGAATAGAAATAAATATCTTGATCAATCCTGAAAAAAGCAAGAACACTCCCATCACTGCCATCACAACTAGATTCAGGTTATAGAGTCAGCTGGATAGACTGTGTGAACAGTGTCTTCCTTACGTGAACACAGGACTGTTGTCATTGACGTCGTTAATGGTGACAGTGACAGTGGTAGTGGCAGAGAGAGCGGGTGCCCCACCGTCTGTAGCAACAACAATGAATGTAAAGCTCTGGTGGGTCTCATAGTCAATATCTGCTTTTGGGCTGATCTCACCAGTGCTTGAGTCAACCTGTGGATGAAGAGACTTTGTTCAAGTCCCTCTTTATAATAGAGTCCTAGTTGTATGACAGACAGAGTCACTGAATTAATTATATTCTTTTACATTTTTGTGCATAATAAGCAGAAAAGATGATCACATCTGCTGAAATTCCGAAAACCACAGCACAAATGAACCAATATTGCACAAACAGGGGAAAATGACCAAGTATTTAACCCCTGTGAAGAACACTACAAACACATTAATGTTTTGCTTTATTTACAAAAAGTACATATTTGTGGAGTATACTTGACTTGTATGTTTGATCACAGTTCATCGAGCAGATTAAAAAATCCTGTCAGCAAACTTTGATATAAAACAGACTTAAGCCGTTGCTTAAAAAAATAATGCAGCAGAGTAGTGACCAGTAATAGTGCATTACCTTCCCAGCCTGTTTTTACTTTAGCAAAACAAAACTGCTCGTGCCGGTTAAAAAAGTTTTCATTTCTTTTATTCTGTCTGTCAATCAATCATTAGCCTCCCGAAGGCAAATGTGGCCCTTCCGGACAGTAGAGGAAGTCAGGAAGAGCGCAAGAAAAACCGAAGGGAGAGAGCAGGTAAAAGAATTTGGTGGCATTTATAATAAGCACAAACAAAATAGTCGTAGTTTGTGACAAGTAGGCTATAATGTACAATGCTGAAAGCATACACAACAAACATTTCAACAATTGCTATGCTGGAAGCACAAACAACAAGCATTTCTACATATATGTGAATGACTGGAAGTACGTTACAGCAAAGCTGAAAAGTCACCTCAATGAAAGTATCAGCTGTGGGTCCATCAAGCAGTGCTGTGTCAATTGTATACGTGATGTCCTTGTTGACTCCAATGTCAAGGTCAGTGGCTGACACCTGAGCGATGGAGGTTGTCAAGGCACTACCTTCATCAACACTGCCTGTGTAAGGATAGACAAATTGAGCTAAAAGAAAGGCAGTTACTAAATGAATAATTGTTGTTATATGTAGTTTAGGTCACGTCAGCGCCAGTATTCCTTGGATACATATTGGGAAAGAAGGAAAATTTGGTTGAATGATGTTTTTCTCTTAGTACACAGCTTTCCTCAACAATAAAAGAACCAAGGTAACATTTTTACTTAATCTAATACTAGCAAGTCAAAGAAGTAATTCATTTGTCTTTTCCATATAGTGGTCATATATTCAGTAAAAGCAAAATATACCCCCCCCCCCAATCCCAATTTCCAATCTAGTGAGCAGATTGGGAGATCCCAGTTGGGTTGCAGCTATGTCTTTGAGTACAGACACAGGAAATTGTGAAATATGACCGTTGTGATACACTAAGGCATGGGGGTTATACTTTATTTTTTTTCCGAACATTCTTAGTATCAACACTGCTTGTAATTAGCAGCATCATGATAATTGAGAATAGACTATGGATGCTGTAGATGAAAAAACATTCCCACCTGTGTAAGAGTTGCTAGAGAACACTGGAGCGTTGTCATTCAGGTCGTCAATGGTGATAGTAACGTCTGTGTAGGCCGTTCGGGACAATGGTGTTCCTGCATCTGTCACCTGAAAGGTATTAAATCATGTCATTTTGAAATTCTACAGACCCCTTAAATATTGTGAACAATTAGTAAATTAATGTTGTCACCCTACGGTTGATGTAAACATGTGACGGGTAGTAAGTTCCTGTGTTGGTGAAAATTTTACAATGGAAGGTGACAAATTGATCAAAAGATATATGTTATTGTGTTAGCATTTCTGATTAACACAAACTCAAACATGCCAACATGGAAATTAATCCACCTTTTACACAGAGTACTAGAATCAATGTATAATAATACGACTTCTCTTCATCATAAAAGGATGTAAAATTAGGGAAGGGGAAAGAATGGAAAAAACGTTACTTGACAAGAAGACATGCGCAACTTCTAGCTAATGTTTTGGTATTGATGTCTTGTAGCTATCCTCCCCTGTCCATATATTTCACAATCGGCTAAATCATATACACGTGCTTCTCTCATACATACTAATGGTCCCAGAGACTAAACAATTAAAACATTAAACATTTTTTTAAAATACCTTTATCACAAAAGTGATCATCAAGAAAAAAGAGAAATCTGAACTATAATTGAATCAATTTACATGAAGCAGCTAGACTAAAGATAAGAACTAGAAGACATGCACCAGTTAACTATAAAAGATGCAGTGAAGGTAAAGTGAACCAATAAAACATTAGATAGAAACTATCATCGTGTCAACTGGGCAGCATCTAGAGGGTTAACAGACGGCCTGACTTTAATTACAGAAGTATCGCTAGTCTCCTTTTCAAGGGAAAAGACAATTGCACACAAAACAATCATACTGACCTTGACTCTAGCTACATAAGTATCGCTAGTCTCTCTGTCGAGGTCGGTAGAGGCCACTGTGATGGCTCCACTTGCTCCATCAATGGCAAAGTGCGACTGTAACCCTTGAGTAAAAGAATCAAAGCTATAGGTGAGCGCGGCGTTGACCCCTGTGTCTGCGTCTGTGGCCGTCACCGTGCCCACAGGGGTGGCCACGTTAGAGTTCTCGTTCACGTTCATTGAGTACGCCGCAGGATTGAAAACTGGGTCGTTGTCGTTGACGTCTGTGATGGTAACAGTAGCCACGATTTGATTGGACCGTACAGGGTTACCCTGATCACTGACCATCACTGTCAACATGTACGAGGACACAGTTTCCCTGTCTAGTGTCTGAGCCACCTGGACGGCACAAACGGGAAGGAGAGACATTTTAGAAATTTATCTTCCCAGCTATAATAATTATGATTTGGGGGGGGGGGGGGGGGGGGCATCTTTAATTTAAGAAATACTGAAGTTTTAAAAAAGCAAAAATAAAACAACAATATATTAATGGTCTGATCATGAGAAGGCCTTCAAAATAATAATGGAGTGACTTTTTCGACATCAAGCTCAATTCCTCTGCTACATTATTGGGAAAATACTTTTTATGAAAGAAGTATGACCAAAATAAAAACATGATACACGATTAGTATAGTAAAAAGAAGTATACTGACTCAAAAATAGTTGTATAGTACTTAGGTTAAAGTAAAAATCAATATAGTATATGGACAGAAACAATATAGGGGAAGCAGAGATGCAGAAGCAATGATACAGGTTGGTGCTTATCTATTAAAACAACTTGTAATAAAATATTGGTCCTAGCAGCCAGTTGAGGGTATATTTGAAACAGTATTTTTTTCTGTCTTCATCATTAGAAATGAAACTGCTGTCTCCTTTTCAGCAATTAAATAATGCAATTAGTAATCTCCCAAATTCATAACAGACTGAATTTGTTCATTAAAAAATTAGATGTACCTCTTTCTGCCTTTTCAATTAATATGACCCGACCATTTTCAGAATAACATTGTGCTTATCATAATACGAATAAACCATTAAAGCATTAACTATAGATGTAATATGGTACTCTTTTTCATTCTCTGAATTTCCAAAACATTGGAGAACTATAAACACTATGAAACATGGATTTAGTTATGGTTGGGTAATTCCTGCAGTTTGATGCAAAAGAAGAATTCCAACTATTGTATACACTTTCTGTGAGCACAATGGGACAAAATGTAGCACACATATTGACAACTCAGTGTAAAACTCCATTATTGGTCGCTTTTCAAAGTGGTGTATAGCGAAGTCTGAAACTGAACAGTCGATATACACAAATAATCTGAGCATACCTGGACATTGCCCACAGAGTCTATGGTAAAGGCCGAGCCAGTGTTCCCTGCCGTGATGTCGTAGACCAGCTGGGCGTTGGCACCGGCGTCATCATCTGTCGCAGTCACTTGGAACACCAGCTGATTGATGCTGGCGTCTTCTGACACACTAGGCGTGTAAGTGCCTGTGATGACAGGTGTGTTGTCGTTTGTGTCTTCCACAACAATTGTCAGAGTTGCGGTGGACGTACGCACTGTTGAGTCAGATGACGTCTGTTTGTCTATCACCTGGACATATATCGTGTGGCTGGGGAGAGATAAAGACAGTCAGATTGTCAAAAATGGTGAACTTATGAATTTGAATGAGAAACCTACTTCTCTCCTTTAAAAAAAATGAAATGGCAAAAAGGAAGTGTTAACACCATCAATCATAACACAAAACACAATTAGCAGCAAAATGATAAGAATTATGTCAAGAGTAAATATACAAAATAATTGTAAAACACTATGACGTTATAATGTAGGAAAATTGTCGGTTTTTGCCTTAGTCTTATTCAATACTGAGAGAAAAGTGATCAAACTTAGTGTACAAGCTCCCACTCACGTAGCCACAGTTTCTCTGTCCAGCTCTGCCTTTGTAGTGACATCACCTGTGGCGGCATCAACCTGAAAGTAGAGAGGAGAATCTTACCCGTAACATTGTGACCTTTTACTTTGATGGGCGTCGAATAACTGACTGACTTTTCCTGAGCGAGTGTATGAGTGAGCTCGTGACGAGGAAGAACTCACAAAACAAACGAAAGACAGGCCACACGGTACAAGGGGGTATCTCTCCTGAAATGCTACAGTTATTGTATATCGTAGTTTACTCCCATTTACATCATTATTCATTACACTCACCCCCCCCCTCCCCAACCTAGGTCCAAAGTTACCAGCCCTTAAAAGAAATCTTCCTTGATCAAGTAACTGACCCCAAAATCATTCAAAACATCTTACAATCAAATTCTTATATGACATTACTCAGAACCTTTCCTAATATATGACATATTAACTAACATTCTGATAGTACATTTATATTGTCACAGCTGTAAGGTTCATATATTTAAAAGGCGGTTTCCCGATACGAGTTGATCTACGTAACCCTGGAGTGCTGGGATCAGGTGATGAAGCCGGTTCCAAACCCGCTATAGATAGAATAGTGTCAAGTGTGACTCCACATTGGTTAGTACAGGGCTCAGTTGGTGTCTCTTCAAGTTGCGAGAAGGCAACAGAATCTTCATGTGGTGTCATGAGTAAAGGGTGGTAAGGCAATTATTTGTCCATATTGGTCTTGGTGTCAACAAAAGATGCCATACTCCTCGGTTTGTACCCGATATGACACATGGCTGGCTTTCTCGACAGCGGTCCCTCGTAGCAATTTTCATCCTCTAGCGTAATTGATAAAGAACACCCTGGTGTTCAATTCAATCATCTTTTTTTCACAGCATACTGGTTGTGATAGTGTTTCTGGTGCAGTTGTTGGCTTTGAACTGATGGATGCAGGTCTGAAGGTGTCTTAAGTTGCTGGCCTATCCGAAGCTTGGCTGGAGAAATTCCAGGTGTCGAATGTAGGGTGGTCCCGTTATACACAGAATCTAAGAAAATCAATCCACCAAAATTCCTCCTCTCTGATGTTTCAGGCCTTCCTTAAACACCTGTACAAAATATCATCAAATGATTCTGAGAAATAAAATGAAAAACAACAGAGAAAGATAACAAATTACTACATGCCCATTTGTCATACAAACAACAAAAGATTTAATGAATTATGAATAGATTCAGGCAAAGATAATATGGACAAAAACCCCAAATAAATAAGGCAAATCATGAAAATCAATAGGTTACGGCTGCAATATGCCCCAACCAAAATCCAAGGAAAAATTCTGAGAATGAGTGACCTACCTGGAAATAGGAGTCAGCTGTGGCGAGACTGAAGCCATCAAGATCTGTATCCTGGTCAGACACAGTGTACTGTAGGACCGACGTACCTACTACCGTGCTCTCCTGCAGCACCACGGCAAACTCTTGTGGTGTTATCACAGGGTCGTTGTCGTTTTTGTTGTTCACCTCGATTTTGACCAGCCCGGTAGAAGTCAGGGACGGGGTGCCACCATCATGAGCCGTTACTGTTAGGTAAAAGACCTGTAAAAGAATAGCAGAAAAAACTTAGAGTGCCAACAATAATAGGAATAATAACACAAAACTTTCCATACCATCATAGTCCTGTCAAAGAGATAATAGACTCTATAATGAAAGCCTGTGAAGATTAAAAAATAAACAGTTTGATGACTTAGGATAACAACTCTTAAGAAAACAAAAGGAAAAACAGAAATTGCGTGATACTTTTAAGCATAATAATATATACATACATGTGTTAAGTACCTGTTAGAGGGTGTTTTAAAAGTTACCTGGAAGCTCTCGTAATCAATGGCACCAGCAACAGTGACCGCCCCTGATGATGAGTTTATGTCAAAATAGGCTGTCCCACTCCCAGCAATCTTGGTGTACGTCACATCGCCATTCACACCAGTGTCTGAGGATTACATTGTGCCCGTAAACTGGTTTGTTTGTTTGTTCGTTTGTAGGTGTAAACAGAAGTACAAGTCAACACAATAAAGATTGTTCAGTGAGGGAAAAGAGAGAGACAGAAACAACAAAGGGAAGAAAAAAGAGAAGGATCAACCAGTTGCATTCTCCAACTACAAACTAGATCAAACTCCAGCTTATCAAATGCAAAATAGAAACAGAGGCAGACACAAACAGTTGTCCTCATAGCTCAAGTTTTGATGTATTGTTCAGCTTAAAATAGTTCTCTCAAGAAAGTATGACCTGCACATCCCACCCTCCTCCGATCTAAATCAGAAAGGTTTTTTGGGGTGTAGAAAACTGTTACAAATACCCAGTTGCATGGAAAGAGCTTCAGTGTCGCTATCTAGCGTCCAGAGACAAAGTTTCGGTTTGCACAAACCTGCATCGTTGGCCACAACTGTGCCCACAGTGGTACTAGTCCCCACATTCTCATTGACGTTAAACACAAACATGGTGGTGGTGAATTGTGGGTAGTTGTCATTGACATCCGTCAGGTCAACGCTGAGAGACACGGTGGACGTGGTCGCGTCAGACAATCCTCCCCCATCAGTGGCTTTGATTACGATGGCGTAACTCGCCGGAGCAACATCAAAGTCTAGAGCTGACCCGACAAAGAGTTCTCCCGTGCCTGAGTCGAGGATGAACTCTGACCCTGTGACCCCACTGTCGATGCTGTACGTGATGGTACCGTGAGTGCCGCTGTCAGAATCTGCAGGAACAGACCACATGGGTGAAAAGCTGGCACGTTAACATATCCAATCAATTTATAAAGTACCATTACAGAGATAACATTTTTTCTCCTTTATTATGTTAGATCATGATGTGGACATTCACTGTACATACCTAAAAAAAAGGCTTGGAACGAATTATAAGATTAATTAGTAAAGCTGACACTGAAAAGCGTTGCATTGACTCAAAGCCAACCATAAGATGCTTGAAGAATTGGGGGGAGGGACAGAGTGGCGGAAGGAGAGAAGGGGAGAGAGAGAGAGAGAGAGAGAGAGAGAGAGAGAGAGAGAGAGAGAGATAGAGAGAGATAGAGATTTGGAGGGAGATATAGAGAGACAGAAGGAAAGACAGAGAGAGAGAGAGAGAGAGAGAGAGAGAGAGAGAGAGAGAGAGAGAGAGAGGGGGGGAGGGGGGGGGAGAGAATGACATCCAAACAAGGATTCCTTCCTAAGAAGTGATGTTCAGCAGAAAAAGAAAAAATCAAGTGGAATATTATACAAGCAGAGACTCGATCTTGGACTGTTCAGGCAATATCAGCCTGCGACACTTCAAATTGCCAGTACAGCCCCCCACAGAGTACAGTATCCCTCTAATCCACACCCTCCAAACAAGGAAAGCACTTTTCCCAGTGATACTGGGGATAGGCCCAGAAACTATTCCCAGTGACACTGGGAATAGGCCCAGAAACCACTGGCAATAGGGCCTACGGCAGAATTGTTCCCAGTGGCACTGGGAATAGGCCTAGAAAATATTCCCAGTGACATTGAGAACCGACAGGCCAATTAGATCTATTGTTCCCAAACTGATATACACTGGGATGATTGTGATGGGTTACTAAATACTAGACTATATCTAATGTAGATCTAGATCTAGATTCTAGATCTAACTAAACTAAAGTAGATTCTGGTGTGAGTGGAAGAATTTTTTTTAAAGAAAAAGGAATGATTATTCTATGCTAGCTTGTTATTCAGTCATAATTTAAATGTTCGTGTAGATCTAGATTTTGGAGACCACGGTACAGGACAGGTAGAAATCCTTCCCCATTCTTCTTTCTTCTAGATCTAGATCTATTCTACGGTCAAGTCTAAGCCCTAAGTAGGAGAAGAGAACAAAAGTAGGCTGAACTGAAGTGAGAAGAGAGTCTACAATGCAACGACTTCTGATTTGTTTTTTATGCAAAAGAGTTCCGTTGTCACTGGGAATAGTTTCTGTACCTATCCCCAGTGTCACTGGGAATAGTAACTTCGTCCAAACAATCCTCACCTGTAGCATTAGCATCGTAGACCAGCGTCCCAACAGCGGTGTCTTCTGCTATGGACGTGGAGAACGTGGAGTCACTCATGAGTGGGGCCTGTTCGTTGTCCGCCAACACGTTGACCGTCACTTGGGCCGCATTCTTTAGCGGAGGGCTGCCGCCATCTGACACTTCTAGCACCAGGCTGAAGGACTGGGTCGTCTCATAGTCCAGGGCGGCACTAAGGATCAGATCGTTGCCTGCACAAGGGGAAAATCGAAAAATTGTGTATATTTAATACCCCATAAAACACCGTATTCTTATTTAAGAGGTCGGACCACCAAATTTAGCATTCATCTCCAATACGACAATGATTGTCAAACCATGATCGCCGATGTCCTTTTCAAATCTGGCTTTAAAAAAATGTTTTTACTTCGCCCAATTCTATCATCTGGCGCTTTTGGTGTTAGTAATAACAACAAACTGTGCAGCATTTTGGGTTTTGAAATTAGCTGTTAGTCTTAGAGTAAACACACCGAAAAATGTTTTACATCTGGCTTTTTTATATAATGATGTGAGGACAGGAGGACAAGAACCAACCTGACATGGAGAATTTTCCTTCCCCATTTCCTGACGTGATAGATACGGTCGTTGCAGCGTTTGCACCATCGTCTCCATCCTGAACAGTAACTTGTTTCAACACGACAGTGGGCCCAAAGCTTGCAGTCTCTATCACATCCACTGTGTACACAGCCGGGCTGAATGTAGGGCTGTTGTCATTCACGTCTGTAACTGTCACTGTCACTGTCGCATCAGCTGAAAAATGGATAAATATGACTCAGCAACAGATGAATTCTCACACATCCTGAATAAAAACATTGCAGCAAACTAGTTTTCTAAAAAGGTCAAAATTGTCGCAACAACCTAATTTTCAAAGGAGTTAAAAGGGATTGCAAAAACCAAAATTGTGAAAATGTCGATTTTATTGCCTTTCTGACATGTTTGGGTTTGTTTTATTTTTTTTTTTTAATTTTTATTTATTTATTTTCTTTATGAATGTACTTGTTTAAAAAAATATCTATGTATTAAAAAACTTTTTTAAGAAGGAGAGCTTTTTACACGTAAATAATATCAATAGCATCTCATTTTTGCTAAAATTTTCACAGTAAAGACAATATCTATCAACAGCAAAGAGAAGCACAACATGTTTGATGATCCAAAGGCTAACTATAACAACAAAGGAGATTCCTACCCGACTTAGCAGTGGCCGCCCCAAGAGCATCGTCTGTAGCCCTGACGGTCAAAATATAAGATGCTGTGGTCTCTCGGTCAAGACTTTTGACTACAGAGATGTCACCGCTGGACTCATCCACGGCAAACTGCTGCTGGGTGTCGCCTGACACAATACTGTAGCGCACGGTTCCGTGTTCCAAGCCTGTGTCACCGTCTGACGCACTCACAGAGGCTATGGATGTGCCTGACGAGTAAAGAGGCAGGAATTTAGCATCAGACTCAACAGATTTCCCGAAAGTTCTCAGGCTCTTTGTTTTCTGTTTTTGACCACCTATAGGCTACATTCTGACAGAAAAAAGCAAATCGCAAAAGAATAGAACTACTGAAACCCTGACATGTCAAATTATTATTATAACTTATGTTATGTAATGTTTGTTTTTCCACATAACATCGTCTCAGAACAATTTGGTCCAAAGTGTACGTAAGTGCACTTTGGACAAAATAGTTCTTAGTCGATGATAAGTTGAAAAGGATACAAGATGGTAAAGGAAAACTATAATACGCTTCTCATATCTTCTGGCATCATGGTGATAACAGCCATCTGTTTCCTGTTCCTGTATGATATCTGCAACCTCACAGTGACCCAAGATCAGCGTACTAGGTAAACTTTTCTTAAATAGGGGGCTGTATTTTACTTTTACCCATCAATTTACATAATTTGTCAGAGGAGTTACAAGACAAAAAGTCATCATTAAGAAAGATAGAGAAGAGAAAGAGAGGGGGGGGGGGAGAGAGGGAGAGAGGGAAAAGAAGGAGAAAGAGAGAGAGGGAGGGAGGGAAGGAGAGCAGGCGGGAAGGAGAGAGAGGGGGAGTGTGAGAGAGAGAGAGAGAGAGGGCGACAGAGACGAGAGAGAGAGAGAGAGAGAGAGAGAGAGAGAGAGAGAGAGAGAGAGAGAGAGAGAGAGAGAGAGAGAGGAAGAGAGAGAGAATGTTTATAGAGCGGAGGAGCTTCCGCACGTAATGCGTAGGTTTTTTTTTCTTTTTGTTTAGTTTGGTAAGAATTTTACGGCACTCGCAACTACATACGGCCATATTAATACGCTTTCTGTGTACTTATAGAGCATACACATAAACTTTGTAACACCACTGCCATTACAAATGACCAAGACAAAATACATTTCTCCCTTTGTGGTGAATAATGATTGCCATGGTCATTGCCATTACCAACAGTCGTTCATTGCCATTACCAACAGTCGTATCTTCTGCCACATCGTATGGTCCGTATGCGCCAGCAGACGTAAACACAGGGGTGTCCTCATTGACAGGGTTCACACTGATAGTCAGGCTGATGTCTGTGGTACGCGGGGTGGGCGTGTCTTTGTCACTGACAGTGATCACAAGGTCATGGCTGGTCGCTGCTTCATAGTCAAGGTCAGCTATCACAGAAATGGCACCTATCCAGAAAAAAGAGTAACTTATTAAATAAGAGATTGGCATAAGTTCCTCTCCTCAACCCCTTCACTGCTTCATCCGAAAAATATGTGTCTTTTCATTGGAGAAATACATAGGTTCAGCAGTAAAGTGGTTCAAGCAAATACATTCAGGAAGAAAGACGGAGGGCATGCCGAACACAAAAAGGATTGCTTCTGTGATTTGCTGAGGTAGAGATCATGGTTTCTTAATATGAAAAAAAAACCCAAGGAAGAATCATATTACAGTAAATGTTTTGTGCAATTGTGCGTTATGAATATATAACCCCCAAGTCACGTCAAGATTTGAAACCAAAATTCTTTGCATTAGTGACAATACTCTGCTTTTCTGAACCGTACTAAAATTTCCATTCAATATACATTTTCACTTATATAAGTGCAAAAATACACCTCAAGACAATCGTTCTGACTTGTTATTTTCTTTACAACCTGAAGCACATCTTTTTTTGTTTCACAATTACCAGGTCCTTAGGCAGAGACCATCATCTTCTGAAGCAAGCTTTTCACTATAGCTGAACCTGCTCTAACCTGTCCTAGACAGTCGCCTGTACTTTACTTTTCCGATCCTGCAGCCGTGTGAGTTTTATCCCTTCGGCCTGAAATTACCTATACAAACTTCCTACTTCCCCCTTTACATTTTGAAAACATTATAATGACAAGTCATCCAGCAGTCTAAGACAATTATTTTTGTCCTCAACCATGGGTGATTGTCTTGGATAGTTTCAACGGTATTTCAATACAAGCAGCACCAATAGGAGCAGAAAGTCAACATAAACATAGTAACAATATATATATATATATACCTGTAGTAGAGTCGATACTTAGAGATGCGTGAGCCCCTGACGTGATGCTGTACTCTAGGGTGGGTGTCGCTGCAGTGTCCTAGAGGCACAAAAACAGACACACAGCCATTACAATGAGACTTATGACTGAAATACAGACATCTATGACAAAACAATAGTAATATTGAAGCTAATTTCACATTTCTGCAAGCAAAGGTCAAGAGTAAAAGAGGAAAGGGGAGATTTAACAGAAGAGGGGAATAGGCCATAAAAACGTGGTTTGGAACCAATACAATACAGCAGGCAAAATGACAAGAGACAGTATTTTATTACAGAAAGTTAAAAAAAGCGACCTCCAACTAATGGAAAAACTAAGAAGAAGAAGATATTTGTCATGAAATATCACATGATTATTCCAGCACATCACTAGAATACGCAATCAATTTTTACAGCTTAATACAAATTTGACATCTTAAAACTAACATAATGAATTTAAGACAACATGAAAAGCTTTGATATAATGGTAGATGTTTGTAATCATTTCTTTACATTGTGCTGGAAACACTGACACCTAGTGGGCAACAAGTCTTTGAATGATAAAACGTGGTAAAGAATTTATTTTTTTTTCAAGAAAAGCCTTGCCTTGTCAGAACACGTCGGTGTAAAAATGACCCCAGCCACTGCAGCTTCATCGACACTGACAGCTGTGGCAGTTACAGTACACTGTGGGTCGTTGTCATTGATATCTGTCACAGTGACATCCAACGTGCCAGAACTGACACTTCCTCCTGAGTCTTCCACTTGCAGCGTCAGAGAGTAAGAAGTCGCAGTCTCATGGTCCAGGGGGCTCTTCAGCTGGAGAGGGAAAAACATTTACAAATAGATAAAGAGCAAGATAAATAGAATAAATTCCACTTATTGATTTCCACGGAAAATCTGTTGTCCAAAGGCATTTATAAATTATGATAAATACACAAATACACTGACTCTTTGTCTCCGGCAAGCTGCTTCCAGCGGCTTGAGGTCGAATCCACTGTGCTGGTGAGCGGCTGGCAATGGCTCAGGCGCCTTCCTTTATGATAACTTTGGCATCAAATTAATTTTAGGCAATTGAAAAAAAAACAAGTCACCTTAACTGGGAGTTCATTCATTAGATGAAAAACTATCAAAATAAGATCATGTGTTTTGATTTAATGACCAGTTTCCTGGCGTTTTTTGTCATTTTTATATTTCGTACCAAAACAAGGGCTCCGATCCAGTAGAGTGGGTTTACCCCACTTGGAGATAAAGATTAAATATAGGCTATAAATCCATGAATGGTAAAGAATATCACAAACATAGACAATCCACACACCATTGCTGGTGGCAGTTGTGCACTAGTAACATTTTGCCAGTTCACAGATCTTTCTGACAGTGCTAATGCATTCTTTCATTTTTCCCTTCCCACAAAACAAGGCTACTGTCTTGAAATGGCTCAGTTGGTAACTTTCTTCACAGAATACTAACGATGCACTATTACTGGTATTCCTTTATCACGCTCTATCTTTGAAAATACTGGTTTGTGATATACTTTTCTGATGGTTCTAATCTTGAAGAGAACTATACGAAGGTAAAGCACAAAATTCAATTATATTTTCTTTTATTTAGAAAGTATCAAAGATCTGGTAAAACAAACAATAAATGTTTGACCCCCCCCCCCCCCCCAAAAAAAAGAAAGAAAAAAACAACTAAAAGTTTATCAATACTAATGGGACAATACCTCTATTTTCCCGGAGAAAGAATCTATGGCAAACTTTCCAGCAGTGTTCCCCCCAGTAATAGAATAAATCCTGATGGAATCAAACGTATCCTGATCTGTAGCTGCGACAGTCTCGACGGTGAACCCCACGGCCTCCGCCTCACTGACAGACGCTGTGTAGGTGGAGGAAGGACTGAACTGTGGGGAGAACTCATTTACGTCCGTCACCGTAACCTGGAACAAAGAGGGCCATATGCTCAAGTAGTCAAGGAAGAATATATTATACATTTCAAGGTTGAAAAAACACTGATGGCTTTATGTCAGACATAACTGAGGGATCAATAAAGAATTTAAATTTCAAGGAATACACGTTTCAAGGTTTAAAAAATCACTGAAGGCATTATACCTGAAATATCTGAGGAATAAATAAAGAATTTATATTTCCAGCTGGACAATAATCACTAATGGCTTTATACAACATATATTTGAGGAATAAATGAGATACCCAAGAGGGATGTCCCACGGAAAACCGGAATTTGGCTGTAATTTGAAAACTATTCAATATTTTCTCATTTTGTAAACGTACACTTGTAAAACAAATCATTTAGAAATTTCCCGATCAGTGATGGGTTTATACCTGAGATATGGTAGAATCTTCTCACAGCTTATGATAACAAAATATAGTAAGGACCTATCTAGGCCAAAACCCCTTCTTTAGACAAGATTGTTTTATTTAAATAAGACCCTCAAACCCCCCTTACTCAAGTTCGATACCCCCAAGTTTAATAGATAACAACAAGAAAAAGGTGGGAGTAGCATCCCTCAATCTCCTGTCTTTGCAGTGACTTACCAGCACTGTTGTTGTGTCTGTGAGAGTTCCATCAGAGGCTGTCACTGTCAGCGTAAAGCTCTGTGTGCTCTCGTAACTTATGGCCGCTGCGGCAGCCGTAGAGACAGCGCCGGTGTTTGGGTTGATGTCAAAGTCACTGGCAGTATCGCCTGAGGATGCAAGTCACACAGAATTTTAATTACATTTTTGTCAATGTGATTTACAGTTAATTAACCATGGAAGCACAGACAAGTAATTTTAATTGTTTAATGACCCCACAGACACTTTTAAGATCATTTAGGAGATGGTCTTCGACCCTGCCTGTCAGGGCAAAGCTGGGCCGAAAGAGAGATAACATCCAAACAGGAAGACCGAGATACTCAACAAACATTCTTCCAACTCCGGAATTGATCTCAGGTCTCCTGCCAGTGACAGCAAAGTGTCTAACCCCTACATAAACAAGTAACCCCGAAAGGTCATGTGATACCTGCAATATCTAAGAGCCAATTAAGATATAAATGTTCCTCTTCACATTCTTTGCAAACAAAGGCCGCTCTTTGATTCAACTTCCAGTGTGTGAAGCAGCCTGCAGGTATTTACATTCTTTTGAGTTTGGTGAAAGTAAAACTACAATCTAACAGATTTCATCATAGCCTAAGCCTACCATTGTCTAGTGGGGTAACTTTATGGAAAGAACAAGGTGCATGTCCACTCAATTTTGATTGAATTCAACACTAGCGCTGTCCTTTTTTTACTTTCTAATTTTGTCTGAGTTGAAGAGGAAAGGGTTAGCCCTGTTCTCCAAAATCCTACCTGCAGTGATACTGTAAGTAATGGTATCCCCGGCATCGGCGTCAGTGCAAGTAACAGTTACAACTGGCAGACTGACAGAGTTCTCCGCAACTGTGGCAGTGTAGAGTGACGTGGAGCATACAGGTGCTGTGTCACTGACGTCTGCCACTGACACTGTCAGCGTGCCTGAACTAGAGCGTGCCGAGGCACCCTTGTCCTGAAATAGGAACAAAAAACAGCACAGTGAAGTTTCTAGAAGTGGTTTGCTTACATGAAAGATAAAGTATGCATTCTCTTCTCTGCAAGTAAATGCAAATGCCAAACTCACAGAGACCAAAATATATGAGTGTAAGTGAAATTATCAAAATGTACGAAAATATCACACAATCAATATTCCTTTATCATATTCACATTGCTTGAGACATTTTCACACACTGCTCGGCTTCTGAAACCCAACTGGACTTTTGGCAAAGTAAAAGTCCGTATCTCTAGCACAAAGAACAGTAAAAACAATGGAAAGCATGCAATTTGGTCCAAGCTTCTCTTTTTTTCAAATCATTTAACATTTTTAGAAAACCGGTAAATCTCGTCAGTATTTTTCTTGATATGACTACCCTCCATACGTGTTTTCAGTTCTCTCTTCCACTCTCACCGTTGCAGTAAGCTCCAGCTGGTATGAAGTTGTAGTCTCAAAGTCCAGGCTGTCAACCAAAACCACATGCCCAGCAACAGGATCAATGCTAAACTTTCCCTCTGAGTTGCCCGATGTGATCTGATAGAAAAACTCTCCTGGAGAGAGACAGTCATAAACAAAATAAACAGAATGTACTTGCAACATTTCTTCTCTTGCTACAGTTGAAATTGAAATTGAAAACATATTTTACATTCCTGATTTGCACATATCAAATAAACTGGACTACTCAGCAACCTGGTTCAAAATAAAAAGAAATTGAGAGAAACAATGGACTCCATTCTCTAATTCACTTGTCTATCTGAGAAGGGGACAGGAGGGAAAAGGGGAGAAGGGATACAGGTAAAGAGAAAGAAAGGATGGGAACGGTTGACACTAGATTTATGTTCAAGAGCATGTGTCCGTGTATATGCATATAATTTGTAGTGATGATGAATACTAAAGAACCAAAAAGACATAATCCGAAATCGTTTAGAAAGAAAGGCATTCTATTCAAGTTAAACGCAAGTAAATATTATCTCATGATGTACAGTGATAGAGTCACTATTTTCATTTTAGTGAATGATTATAATCATTGAAAGAGTACTTTATTCTTCTCAGTAACCATTTTAAAAAAAAACTCTACTCACAATAAATGTGAAACTATCTTTCACTACAAGCTTACAATCATGGCATAGGATTGGCATAAATTCTTACTAACCTTGGTCCACTAAGCTTACTCTAAGGCATCTGTATATAAACTCACATCACTGACCATTGAGCATGAGGCGTGTGTTGAATGTTTGGAAGGAGGCACATAAACACTACGTCATACACTTAAGCCTGTAAGTATACGAAATGATTTCTCGAAGAAGCCATTACAATTCCTGTTTGCCCTTACCATTAGTCCCTGAATCAGCATCAGTGACTGGAACAGTCGTCAAAGTAGTTCCAACCGCTGTATTCTCCAACTTCGTCACTGTGGCAGGCAAACTGGTGAACACTGGGTCATTATCATTGACGTCTGAGGACAAAAGGGAAGGAAGTAAAACATTACAATTTTTAAAGCTTGAATCATTGCAACGATTTCCACACATCTGTCTGGCCATTGATAGATTGAATGAAAAGGAGGAGGAAGAGGAGAAGGAGAAGGGGGAGGAGCAAAAGGAGAAGAACGAGGAGGAGGAGGAGGAGGAGAAGGAGGAGAAGGAGAAGGAGATGAAGAAGAAGAAGAAGAAGAAGAAGAAGAAGAAGAAGAAGAAGAAGGAGAAGGAGGAGGAGGAGGAGGAGGAGGAGGAGGAGGAGGAGGAGGAGGAGGAGGAAGAAGAAGAAGAAGAAGAAGAAGAAGAAGAAGAAGAAGAAGAAGAAGAAGAACAAGAAGAAGAACAAGAAGAAGAACAAGAAGAAGAACAAAACAAGAAGAAGAAGATGAACAAAACAAGAGAACGACAAGAACAAGAAAAGGTATCACACAATTTGTGAGAGAACATAAACCCACCTGAGATGGTGACGCTAACGGTGGCAGTGTAAGTCAACTTAGAGCTGGTAGCCTGGTCCACCACATCCACAATCAGCGAGTAGGAAGCTGTGGTCTCCCGGTCGAAGGCAGCACCTGTACTCACTGTCACCTGGCCAGAACTATCCACAACAAAGAGACCAGCATCGCCTGAAACTGTTCACGCAAGCTCTCAATGAGAAAATATTAAAACAATCTAGTCCAACTCTGTTGTACTGCCTTGGAAGTTAGTTATTATAGCTTTACATTTAGAGTCTCCCAATATTTGAGTGTTAGTGTTTTAAGGAGACTTCAAATGAGCGGTAACTACAGTGTGTACCTGTTTGCCATTACCTGAGCTATGACTGTGTGTGTCTACTCATCATCACAAGCGCTGGGATAATTGTATGTGCCTACTCATCATTACCTGAGTTGTGACCACTTTATGTGCCTATCTATCATTACTAAAGATGTGACTATTTTATCTTTCTATTCGTTATTATTTGAATTGTGATAAACTGTGTGTGCCTATTCGTCATCACATGAGCAATGAGGGCTAGATCTATCTGACATTAGTTGGGACTACTGTGTGGGTCAATTCATTATTACATGAGCTGTGACTGGTGTGTATGCCTGTGTGTGTGTGTGTGTGTGTGTGTGTGTGTGTGTGTGTGTGTGTGTGTGTGTGTGTGTGTGTGTGTGTGTGTGTGTGTGTGTGTGTGTGTGTGAATGTGTGTGTGTGTCTGTGTGTGTGTGTGTTTGTGTTTGTGTGTGGGGGGCAGTCATCACACCAGCAAACCCACCTATGGAGTAGGTGAGGGCGTTGTTAGGGCTGGTGTCATCATCGTCCGTACACACCAGGGTCTGTACAGCATCTCCAGGTGCCGCTGTCTCAGGCAGGGTCACGAAGTACACGTTGGACGCACACGATGGGGTGACGTCATTGAGGTCATTCACATCAACTGGAAGATTAGTAAATATTCGAATTAGATGTACGGCTAAGTATTTGTACAAGCTATTTATTTTAGAGTCCCATGGCCCAAGGTACGCCTTAGACACATTCTATGAGATCAAATAAACTGGCAGATACGGAAATTTGTACCTCGCACAAAAAGCTAACTAGATCTAGTTATTTATGGAGTCACAGGGTCGACACAGGACACAAGCTACAAGGTCAAATCAACTGTTAAATAGGGAAACTTGTAACAGTAAACAAGCGTAATATTACACGTTATTTATCGGGTTACAAAATACAAAGTGTACACACACACACACACACACACACACACACACA